GCCCAGATAGTCACGCAGTGTGAAAACATCTATGACACGACTACTTTCAAAATCATGCAGTCTGAACTCTGCATTAGTTATTGATTACACTTAGAGACCTGGATATCGACTCGTCTCTCTGCAACTGGATTATAGACTTTCGGACTAAAAGACCTCAGAATGTCAGATCAGGCCACATCTGCTCCACCATCGTCACACTTAACCCTGGTGTACCACAGGGCTGTGTGCTGAGCCTCTTCCTCTACTTCTTTTTTTACTATCAACTGTAGGCCTGTGAATAGATCCAACATCATCATCAAATTTGCAGATGACACCACTGTGATTGGTCTAATCAGCAATAATGATGAGACGGCCTACAGGGAGGAGATACATTATCTGTCCACTTGGCCACTACCAAGTCGACCAATCACAGAGCTTGCGCTACGCATCGTTGCGATGTGTAGTAACATTTTTTGAGAGGTGCACGTCAGCGACGCCGACAGCCACGGCGAAGAGCTATGCGTCAGCGCCGTAGCATACGCGTGCGTTTTGACGCAGACGTATAAATCAGCCTTAAGGAACAGCACTTTCCTCAGAGCTGTCCCTTTTTCAACTCTATCCCCCACTAATTATTTTGCCCTCCTAATACACCCCCACTGTCCTCAGAACTTATACTCCTCATTATCATTGCACTATTTAACATTTGCACATTTAAAAATTACACATTCATTGCACTACATTAGACTGATTCATTCATTTGAACTGTACATACTGTATACTGTACACTTTTAATTGTTTATCTATCTGTACACTTCTGATTATTAATAGCAACTTGTACATATAATAATTTATTTTAAATCTCTGTTCATAGCTAATACAACATGTATATAATGTTGATAGTACGTCCATCTGTAAATATCACTAAAGTTTTTCTATATCTGCACTTTATAACTTATACATGTATACTGCACTTGCTGCTATTGCACTGCTGGTTAGACCTAAACTGATTTTCGTTGCATTGTACTTGTACATGTGTAATGACAAAGTTTAATCTAATCTATTACATTTCTTAACGTTTTCCAATTTATCATTTATGTGTTTAACTAATCAAATTTGTATTATTTACAGACAACCGATGTCCATCTCAAAAGAGCGTCTATTCTTCAAGCTCTCTTTACTTACCTTGGTGAGGATGAGGCATGCCTGGTGAAAGAATACATGGTGAGTGCATCATAGTACTAGTGCTTGCACCTGGGCTATAAGAAAGAACTGCTTTGTTCAGAGGCTGAGGGTGGGGTTACAGTGGCCAATGAGACAAACGGAAACTTTGAGTGCCATATTTGAATTAATAGGTGAACCTAATGTTGAACACATTATGGTCTATTAAAATCACATTGCGCTGCACAAACACTTGCTAGATTCGTGCAAGTAAGTTGCATACTAATTCAATGCAAAAGTATGAATAGAACAATGAACAAAATATTTTAATATCTCAAAAACAAAATTAATTAATAATTTTAAAGAATTTGAAAATAGTTTTTTCACTGTATATGTCAATGGCTTTTTTCTTTTTTCAAATGCTTTTTATTTACATATATTTGTAAATGAAGTAAAAAAAAAATACCATTGGTCACTACACGCGTAAGAGCAACCTATTATCTTTTGCCTCAAACTCTCGCATTGTAACGGTAATACACACTGTTATTGAACCGTGAGAAAACTATCAGCTTGTTGAGTGTGACATCACATTGCTTGACTATATCAAATAGTATTGGGAGACTCAACAAATGGTAATAATAAACATTTACAAAGCGATGTAATACTTTTTGAAAATCGCAATATATGTGCCTAATATTAGTATGCCTAAAAATACTAAATGATTAAAAGTTGCATATGTTTCTTAATCCTTTGACGTTCTCAGCATTGGGTTCAGATCTGTGTTTGACCCCAGAGATATTCATTGTTTAGTCCAGGGGTGTCCAAGCTTGGTCCTGGAGGGCCTGTGTCCTGCTAAGTTTAGTTCCAATTCCAATTAGACACACCTATGCTAGCTAATCAAGCTCTTACTAGGTGATCTAGAAACTATTTTGCCTCAACACACCTGCAAGGATGAGCTAAAATCGGCAGAACACTGGCCCTCCAAGAAGGAGTTTGGACACCCCTGTTTTAGTCTTTCTAAACAGTATTATTATTTCTAAATTACAAACAAATAGTCACAAAAGTACAAGTAAACCACTTTTTTCCAAAAAAAGAGAATTTATGTTTATGTTAAGATTAAAATTACTGTTTAAAAGCAACTTGACTTGAATTACATTTTTAGGTCAATGGGTGGCAGTACTAACAATCAAAAATGTATTGCTGAATAATTCTTCAAAAATGTTTAATCTAATAATGAAACATGACGTTTTTTTAAAGTATGAATTCAAGTTTTAAATTTGTATATTTACTTATACATTTAAAATATACTTAATATATTTAAATTATTTTGGTTTAATTAATGACTTGTAAAAATACTAATTAAATAAATATACATGTCTATTAATTTGTCCAATTAAATTTGTTTTATTATCATTGTACTTTTTTATTATTTGCAGAGGTCCTGTGGGTCTTTGAAAAGTCTTAAGTATTAAATTAGATCTTTCAAATTTAAGGTCATAAAAAGTCTTAAATTTGAGAGGTCTTAAATTTTGCATTAAGGTGTGACATTTCTACTGAATTTCATTCGCTGATGTTTATTTTACTTGTGCACAATTATTCTTAAGCCTTGTGTGCTGTTGAGAATATTAATTTGGAGACAGATTTCTTTGTTTGAGCTCATGAAATGATTTTTGGTGACATGTTATTTTTACTCATATTTTGGGAAAATGCTTTAAAATTTTTAAAAAACTTAACAGTACACAACAATTGCAAGGTCATGATAGTATATTAAATATTTTCGATCTTTAATGGTTTTTCTTATTAGGAAAAGGTAAAATTTGTCATTTTTATAGTTGATCATCAGTTGCAGAGCAAAACATTGCAAAGGTTTGTGGTTTTTATATAGAGTTATACGGAGTATTGTGTGTGTGTGTGTGTGTGTGTGTGTGTGTGTGTGTGTGAGAGAGAGACTTTTGCACACATTGTTTTGAAAGTTGCTTATTTATATTTTTTCAGACATATAGTAAACATAGTAAGTGTATTTATGCACACATACACACACACACACACACACACACACACACACACACTATCATTTACTGTTTATACAGAACTCCATATAAAAGCCAGAAACTTTTTTGCACAGGATCTAAATGGTTATGCTGTCAACTGATCATCAACAGTAAAAATGACAAAATATACATTTACCGAAAAGGGACGATAACCAGCAACAATGCGTGATTACATGCTGTCATGGATTTGCATCCAAAAAATGTTTTAATGGAAGTCAATGGGGCAAAAAAAACAGCAACTAACATAAGGAAAGGGTAGTAAATTTAAATAATACAGAAGGGTTAAGGTGAACAATTATGACCAGGTATATTGATATACAGTGGGTCTGATCAGAAGGTATTTCCACATTCAAGTGGCCAAATCTGTGGTTTTCAAGCCTTAAACCTTGGGTAATATTATTTAAATAATAATGCAATAATGCTGCCTTGACATTATATTTAGTTTTCAACATATTACTGTATTGTTTGCCTTTCAATTATTTTTTCCAAAATTATGTTTAGTTAGTCTTAAAAGATCTTAAATTTACCCTGATAAAACCTGAATGAACCCTGTAAATAATTGTGAAGAAGTCGTACTTGCAGATCATGCACAAATATATGTACGCCAATATGCAATCATAAATGATTGTTATAATATTTCACAGGTATCAATGTGGGTGTGGGGAGGGGCCGTTAAGGTTTTGGTTTTATTTACATTTGATTTCTTCTGACTTTTTACAAAATATGTTTCAAAAACAATGTCTAATAATGGTTTCTTTTTATTCAAATATAGGGCAACCAAAAAGAAGAATTTTTGAAGGACCTGACAAACACCGCCATGGCCATATGTGTCATCAAAAAGGAAAGAGGAGATTATGAGGACATTGGCATCGTTGTGGATGGAACAGTGATTATTGAACAGATAAAATCTGTTGCACAAGCCTGTGCACTGATGTTGGGGGCAATTTATGTGCTTGATTTGGCCTACCCAAAAGAACTCAAATACTATTACGAGTTTGCCCAAAAAGTACTTGTGCAAATGAACTCTGACAAGCTCTCCTCAAAGGTTCTCATACTGGAAAAGTGTGTGATACATTAATTTTAAGCATTAAAGTGTTAATAAATGCTCAACAACCAAATGTATATCATATACAAATTGCAGTTTAGTGTAGGAATTGTTTAATAAGTGAATTCAGTTTTCTTTGTGTGCAAAATTAATTAGCTGTAGGAACTTGTTTTAAATGGTGTGTGTGTGCGTGTGCGTATGTGTGTGTGTGAGAGAGAGAGAGAGAGCATGTGCATTCTATAAACTTTGTATTTATTCCATTTCATACAACTTGTAGTTGCTCAATTTGTTAATGAGTTAATTTTTTAAGTTAATTAGTTGATTATTTTGTGTATTGGGGTGTGTGTGTGTCATAAGGATTGCAGTTTGCTCCAAGACTTCATACAGTTTTCTTTTATGTGTTGGTTTAAATTAAATGTGCTGTACAAACTGTTTATTGTGTTATGGTGTGCTGCTAAAGCATTTTTAGGCAGTGATTTATGTTTTGTTAAAAAATGCATCTTAAAAAGTCATTAAAATGAATTCAAAACAAATGTGGTCAAGTGTCATTTCAAAGTGTATTTGCAAGCAATTTAATGATCATTTTAGACATCAAAAATAAATAGATATAAGTAGGAATAACATAATTAAATTATAGTGAACTAAATGAATTTCATTGGATAAATGTAACTAAATAAAATTGATTAAATCCAACTTATTTTGATTGTTTAAATCCAACACATATAAATTGAGTAAATCCAACCTAATTTGATTGTTTAAATCCGACACATATAAATTGAGTAAATCCAACTAAAATTGTTTGCTTAAACTTAACCCAATTCAATTATTTGCAACAGCTTGCCTTAAAAAAATTAAGTAAATCCAATGAATCATTTTTTTCAGTGTACAGTTGCTGTTTATGGGAAAAGAAAAGAGAAAAAATAGGCAATCTGGGAACACAAAAGGTGCTAATTGCCTTGCCATACCTAAAGGGGACAATATCTTTGTCTAATGTACAATTTGTAATTATGATGTCCAAAAAGTGCAGAATATCAAAAATAAAATGAAATGCAAACAACTATAAATCGTTTTACCATTTCGTGTTTGCTCTAAGTAAACTAGCAATCTCTTAAACAGAAAATACGGTGAATAGATGAGCTTAAAAACAAAACATTGCTTATTTAGCAAGCTTTTTTAATTAGACAAAGTCCTTCCTCATGTGACAACTTGTTCTTGTCTCCCCTAAACCTTTTTTGACTTAATTTTAAACTACTGTATTGTGAATTTATTTCTCTCTTTCAGTTATTTCTATTGCGTTGCTTACCTTGACACTCAATTTATTTCTGTCTTCAAGTGAGAGGTAAAAATTTGCTTCTTTTCTTCATCTGTACCTTGGTGATCCACGGTCCTGTGAGCAACACGATGGAGAATGTTGAACGGGCAGCAGACAGTGTGATCTGTGGCACAGAACTTACCATGAACCAGACACAACAACTCCTGCAGCGTGCTGCCAACCCACTGCTGCGTGAGTCCATCTGCAAAATTATTGTCAATGACATCAACAATGCACCTTTATCAAAAAGACCAACATCTGCTCAAAAAAAAAAGTGAAATTATTTAGAAATATACTGTGGATGCTCTTTCAGCTGCAAAGCAGCTCTGGGAAACATCCATACACACTCATTCACACACATACACTACAGCCAATTTAGTTTATTCAGTTCACCTGTACCGCATGCCTTTGGACTGTGATTGAAACCAGAGCACCCGGAGGAAACCCACGCAAACACAGGGAGAACATGCAAACTTCACACAAAAAACACCAACTGACCCAGTCAAGGCTTGAACAAGTGACCTTACTGCTTTGAGACAACAGTGCTAACCACTGAGCCACCATGTCACTACTACTGGTTTTAGACCACAATAGTTCATTAGTATGGTGTAGGGCCTTCTTTTGCTGCCAATACAGCATCAATTTGTCTTGGGAATGTCAGAAACATGTCCTCCACAGTGACTAAGGGAATTTTGAGCCATTTTCTTGCAGAATAGCGGCTGGTTTTGTTGGAAACGGGAGAGTAGAGACGCACATTTAATTCTGCACTGAGCTGGGCAGCTGTGCTTTTATGATTTCCCTTTCAGACAGCTTCCTCTTGCATCCACAGTTACTCCTGTTGCAAGTGGTTCGTCCTTCTTGGTTTTATACTGACATTAGCCTAGTTACTTTGACTCTTGATACATCACAGAGACATGCTGTCTTGGTAACAGATGTGCCAGCGAGATGCACACCAACCAACCTAGGCTCATTCTGAAAACGCACAGCTAAATACATTTCTGGAGAGAGCCTAATACGTCCCAGGAAGTACGATTTTTGCAGTTTTTGTTTCAGCAGATTCACCAGAGGCCATTGTGTACGCTTTTTTAGGATCTCAAATTTCTCCTGTTAGTGCCATTCGCACCTGCTGTTCTCGTGTGAATCCACCAGAGGCTACTGTCAACTGACTGACTGACTGACCGATTGACTGACCCACCCTCTTCCTTCCCTAAACCCAACAAATAGTGTTTTCAAAAGCACCGATTGACCAGCGCCCACCTACTTCCCAACCGACAGTTTTGAAAAGCAATCCAGAAAAAGAAAAGCCTGTGCCTGATTTTTACGATGTTTTCAGATTTTACCCCATTCCTACTCTGTTATTTACTTGATTATTTTATTTTTTGGCTTCGGTTTCGTCTTACATGCTTTCTGGAACTGTTCTTTGCCGGACTCGAACCCCCTCGTTGAGGTCAACTTCTCTCTGCATCTCAAGTCCACCGACATACATGGCAAGCTAACTGGACAAATTGGTAACATCAGGAAAGCCGCCCATACGAAGATAAGTGGTCAGCTGCTGTGCATGAAAAGGAATGGCATCATACTTCCCATAGCATTCATTTTAAACACAAAATGCAGCCATACATACTTCTGGCTACATGATTCGCAATCTCCAGAAATGTATTTAGGGCTACATTTTCAAAAAGAGCCTATGTTGGCACTAACAATTTGTCCTTTTTCAAACTTTGATATGTCAGCCATAATGTTGTGTGCGTTGCAATATTTTAAGAAAAACAGCGCTATTACTCTGCTAATTAAACCCTCTCTATTCAAACACTTCTGATTCAGGCAATCACAGCCTTCAGATGTATTCACAAATTGCATGTTTTCTGTTCTGATATTCTGTTGTGTTTTTTAGCGGCCCTGAATAAGATCAAGGAAATGGCGAGGAATGCTTACTCGATGGCAGGCCGAGCACAAAACTTCATCATGGCTCTTAGTGAATCTGTTCGGCACGTTGGTAAGTGAATCACAAACATTCGGTAAACCCATCATCTGTGCCTTTCATTTTATTCCCTGAGGTTTGTGCATGTTTGACGTCTCAATGTCTCCCTGTTTCCTTTCCAGCTCGTACTCTAAGAAACGTATTGCACTTTCTGGCAGATATCGGCGACGCGTGTAATGACAATCTGGGTCTGCCTTATGAGAAGTGCACTGGGTTATTTGATGAAGCCCGTGAGAACTGCATGGAGCTGCTGTCTGTGTTTTCATTTTTCTGCCACCTCCTGGATGGTTTCCAGTCTCTCTGCGGACTCGCACGCGGTGCGTCACTAGCATGTGATTATAGTGCCACGAGAGGCCTGTCATTACACTCCAACGGGAAGCCTTAAAACCACAACACACTGATTCTGTACTGTAATTCACTGTATCCTGTTTTTTTTCTGCGTCACAGTGGTTTGGCTTCATTGCATTTGGTATATTAGGTCTATTTTGCTGTTGCAGCAACTGTGACGAATCGTTCTTGTGTTATAGAGACTCTTAAGTACTGTTCATCTCAGATGCTTGATATATACACAGTTTATTTACAATAAGTGTCACGTTAGTCATGCCTAAGTACCCTAAATGTTACCGTGTGAAGAGGGGTGGCTGAGTTCCCATGTGTGTATGTATTTATTACATTTTTAACAGTCTGACCTCATCTTCAAATCTAAACATGAACTCTTGCTGCTCCACACTGCGTTCTCAAATAATACAAACACAAAATTTGTTTTAAAAGAAGCTATTTTTGCATATGTTCTTTTTAAAATGAATGCCTATTATTAATTATATCAATGAACTTTCCTGCAGTGGGACAGCTGTTCTGCATCTTGCCATCATACATTGCAGAACACTTGAAGACCACTCTGGCTTACCGTAAGTACAGCTTTTCTGAGATTTGTCAGACTTTGAAAGGTATTAAGTGATTTCTTGGTATACAGTGATTCTTTAACCCTAGTGCATTCTTATTTGAAAACAAAACTATAAAACGGCTCTGAACCCCAATAAAAATAAATAAATTATTTCCAGTGCCAAGTATGCAAAAAGCTATTTAGTTGTCAAGGATACATTTTAACATTATTTTGTAAAATTACATGATACAAATGGAAAATATGTAGTATTTTGTTTTTGTTTTTTTCAAGTTTGGCCTGTGGATGATATCAGAGTTTGTTTTGCATATGGATACATTTGTATGTGTAGTAGTTATAAGATATCATTGACTTATCTAAAACCTGTTTAACCTTCAGTTTATGAGAAAATCGATTCCATCTGTTATGATTTTTTATTATAATTGAAAAACAACAGCTGTGATTTGTAAACCTAATGTAATTTAAATGTTGAAAATCCTTCAAATGGGGCGTCATGGTGGCGCAGTGGGTAGCACGATCGCCTCACAGCAAAAAGGTCACTGGTTCAAGCCATCGTAAAACATATGCTGGATAAGTTGGCAGTTCATTCCGCTGTGGTGACCCCAGATTAATAAAGAGACTAAGCCGAAGAGAAAATTAATGAATGAATGAAATCCTTCAAATGGATGAATTTTCTGTAGTCATATATCTTCAGGACTTGTGTTGGAAAAGAAATCTATTGTATGTTATCTTCTGTATGTCAGTGAAGTGCAATTTGTTTCTTAAATATGACACATTTAAAATTGTTTTAAACACAGAATATTTAGTCCTTTTGGAGCTGTTTTTTAGCCGCGAGACCCGGTGTTTCTAGCTGCTTGCACTCTTAGCAGTCGCACTTTTTTTTCATTAATTTATTTATTTGACCATAGCCTCACTCTTTTTATTCATTATTTTGCCGCAGCTCCGCTCTTCTTATTTATTGTCTCGCAGCCCCATGAGCAAACTGCAGCCTGCAGGGTGATGATGTAACTATCATTCCGGCCACACAAACATAGCAGCGCTATTGTGGTCCAGTGGACAGCACGTTGCTTTATAGCGTTGTCGATCCGTGTTCGATCCTCACCTAAATAATTTTTTTTTTTCATTTTTATTGTTAAGACATATAAAAGTGTAAGGTTGTGTAACATTTGAATTGTAAAGCAGCTGTTTTCTTGAAAAAGACGTGTTAGTGTAATTATAAACTGAATTGGAAATGACCTTATTTTAATATAGTCAGTCGTGAACTGAGATTGGCCGGTCTAATGCTTGAAACTCCAGGGCTAAAAAGGAGTCCCACTCTGGCCCTGGTAGGTGACACTATAATATGAGCATTACTGCCGCGCCTTCTACCGACGCAGCTCTAAAGAAGAATGTGTTTTTTAGGTATGACCGCAGTTTGCCACTATGCCACCAGGGGCACAAAGGGACGGGATGTAAACAGACTGAAATAGCCTATACAGTTGCTGTAAATACTCTGCCACTTGTAAATAAAGATAAACAATAAAACAAAGCATTATAATTCCTTCATTAATTATTAAAAACTAGTTAGCAAGTTTTATTATCATTGTAAACTTGCTAAGTGCAATGAGGTTTCATTTTGGAAAGTAGAATTAAAGAAATAAAAGACAACTAAAATGAAAGTACAAACATAAATACAAATAAGTAGGCCTAAATAAATAAATAAGCAGTGTTTTAGCCTAAATATAGAGAGATGTACAGTGTTTGTTACAAAAGATACAAAAGATAAAAAACAAAGATTAAACAAGACTGTATAAGGATTAAAATGTCTATTTAACCCAATAAAGTTTGTTGTTAGCCACTTTCTTGTTTTTTGTTGTTACCTCTAGCAACCATTGCAGCCTTTGATCGAATTAAAAAAGAGTTTGAATTCAACATTTCTACATCCATCAACTTTACGCTTCTCATGAACAGCAGTCAGTCCATGCAGGACGCGGCTCAGCAGATCATGGAGGAGGTGTCTGAAGAGCTGGTGCTCCTGCAGGAGCTCAAGGCCTTGCTGACATACACAGGCTTCTTCATGCTTCTCTTCATCTATGTCCAGTATGTACTTCCTGTTAATCACAACATGACATAGTAAACAACAACCACATACATTTATAACATGTTTACTATATCAGTACTACCAAAGAATTTTTGTCAATTTGTTTACATTTTTTAAAATTGATTTATTACAGTAATAATCATTGTAATAATTTAAGACATTGAGTATTAATTAATTATAACAAGGCCCACCCAGAATCTGCACACATAGAGATCCACAGATTTCTGCAGATTTTTAGCCCATCATTGAGTCTAATTATATATTTGTGTAAATGTGTGTAAATTTATATTTATTCAGTTTTTAACTAAATTTCAGTGATATTATTATAATTTTTTTATTGATTATTGATAATTTATTTTTTATTTCATATATTACGTTTTTAGTTATGATACCGTCAAATTCATTCCGCATAAATCTGCATTTTTTTTTTTTTTTTTTACAAATTCTCTGCAGAAAGAGCAAAATAATGTCTGCAGATTCTGTCTGGCCCTAATTATAACTATTTTTTATGAAAAAAAAACTTTTATTTTATGAAAATTATTGTTAATTAATACTTTTTATTATTAAATGTGATTAATAATTGTAAATATAGCTAAATAGTAATTCTAATATCATTATTATTTTTGCAATTGCATTGTTAATTTTATTTTTGTATTATTATAATAGCTATTAATGTTGCTGTTGTTTATTGTCAGATGAAAGTGAAGAAAATGTACAATATTTCAAGATGAAAAAGTTACTTGAGTTATTTGAGATTAACTAAACATAGCACAGTTTAATTTGTTAATAAATTATGATAACTACATATGCTTATGTGTGCATACATAACTTATATAATTTACTGAGACCAATACTTATTTACTCCAAGGGCTGTTTATAGCGAAGTTGATATTTTAACGCACCATGTTGGTGTTTCGTAACATCTAAATTTTTATGAGGTGGGTCATTAGCCCTACACTCAACCCCTAACCTGGGGAACCAGGACATACACCACGCACAACTTAGTTTCTATAGCACCTGTCTTTGAACTGTGGGGGAAGCCTGAGCACCCAGAGGAAACCCACGCAAACATGGGAAGAACATGCAAACTCCATACAGAAATGCCAACTGCCCTAGCCAGGGCTTGAACCAGCAACCTTCTTGCTGTGAGGCAACAGCGCTACCTACTGCACCACTGCGTAGCGCACTGAGACTTATACTTAATATTAAAGTCCATTAGAACTTCCTGAGTGAATTAATCCTCTAGATTGGTCTACAGATCACACAGACATCATAAAGAACAAATCTATTATAAATATACAAACAGTACCTCTATTCCCATTTGTGTTATGCTCATTTGTCTTTTTTATCTTAAACAGGGTCGTTCTGTACAAAAATAAGTACCTCCATAACGATGAATTCGAGAACTTCTACATAACAGACCAGTTCATTGAGCTGGACAAGAAGTGCTCCAGACAAGGCAAAGCTACAGTACTTCCTCTCAGCCACAGAGAAGCTCTCACCTACATCAGGCCCTGTGAGTGAATGAATACACTGTAAATGTGTCTGTTAGCAAAGAGATGGTGTGGGGTGAAGGGTCAAGAGGAAGGAAGAAAGGAAAGAATGTTTAGATAAGTAAAATAGAGCTGAAGAAGGCTGAGGGGTTCAGAAATGTGGAGTAGGACACTTTCCAACCAGGAAAGAGGAGAACAAGTTCACAAGGCAAAGGTCATCAACAACTATCAGAGAACAGGAATTGGATTTCGCAATTAGAGCAACAAAACATGTCAAAGGGCTGTAAAGTAGCCCACAAAATTTAGCACATCTGTACTTGGGGGAGGGGGGGTGGAGCAAAACTGTCATTGTCATGGAAAATGTTATATATTGTTTGGACCTACATGCATATTTGCAATTGAAAGGGCACCTATGATGAAAATTATCTTTTGGGAGTTGTTTGGACAGAACTATGTGTAGGCAGGGGCAGACTGGGACTAAAAATCAGCCCTGGCATTGTAGCCACACCAGCCCACATTACCACACCGACACAGCCCCATCCAAGGACACACACATTGACTACTTATATTGGTGTACAGATGGTGAAATTATATAAGCAGTACCTATTTCAGAGATATTTAAACATTTAATGTATGTGACTATTTCCCAGAGATGGGTTGCGGCTGGAAGGGCATCCGCTGCGTAAAAACTTGCTGGATAAGTTGGTGGTTTATTTCGCTGTGGCGACCCCAGATTAATAAAGGGACTAAGCCGACAAGAAAATTAATAAATGAATGAATGTATGTGACTGGAACAAAAACAACCCATTTATATATGCAATCATGTCATTCATTTTCTTTTCGGCTTAGTCACTTTGTTAATCTGGGAATCGCCAACTTATCCAGCATATGTTTTACACAGTGGATGCCCTCAAAGCATAATCATGTCAAAGACAGGACGTAGGGCTGTGCAATTAATCGAAAATCCGATTTCGATTTTGACTTCTAACGATTATGAAAAGCCATTAATCGAGATAAACGATTATTCCATCATATACTTCCCCCTTTCCAGTTGTACACATTTGTTGCGGGCAAAGCTTAGTTCCACGTGAAAATGACTAAAAGCATGTACTGTCATGTAACTTTTGCAGCCGCGCTTAGCCTCGGACAGGCTCGGAGAAGAGCAGAGCACACACATCTAACGCCATCTTAATGTGAGCGCTTTAATGGTCAAATACATGGACATTTGTGTCAGAGCACGGTGTTTAGTGATTATTCATATTAACCCTTATTTGTGCAATAAACAAACAAGTTGAGAATCAAAAGACTCGTAAAACAGAACCATATCAGAGCCGCACTGTTCTTAAAGTGACAGCGCACAATATTCCTGCTGCCACCTTTTTTTTTTATTATTAATCAAACAACAAAAGGAGAAAATCCCTCACTGCTCTTGACTGAAGAACTTTTGTGGCTAAAGTTTTTTTCTTACAGTGAAGATGCTTAAAGCACAGTTTAAACATAACAGATTTAAAAACAAATTTCTAATAACTGATTTCTTTTATCTTTGCTATGATGACGGTACAATATATTTTATTAGATATTTTTCAAGATACTAGTATTCAGATTAAAGTGACATTCAAAGGCTTAATTAGTGTAATTAGGCAAGTCATTGTATAATAGTAGATTTTTCTGCAGAAAATCAAAAATATATATTGCTTAAAGGGACTATAAATGATGAGCTATTAAAATAGGTTTCAAAACATTTAAACCTGCTTTATTCTATCCGAAATAAAACAAATAAGCCTTTCTCTAGAAGAAAAAATATTATGGGAAATGCTGTAAAAAATTCCTCTTTTAAACATCATTTGGGAAATATTTATACATTTAAAAAAATTCACAGAAGGGCAAATAATTTTGACTTCAACTGATAATCTTGATTACAATTATGACCAAAATAATCATGATTATGATATTTACGTTAATCGAGCAGCCATAACAGCACGTGCGAAAAGTAACCGGGATTAAAAGATCTGTTCAGCTCGCTGTGATCATCAATCTTCATCAAATGTGGTCAAGAATGAGTTTTACAAGTTTAAAACATTTTTAAAACAGTGCATGATTGTAATGAATTGCAGCGACTTTACTTTAGCACCACAGCCACATGTCAGTAAAATTATAAAAGATTAATTATAAAACTTCAATCCCAGTTTGTGGACGTTAAATCAGATTTATTTTGTACATTAACATAACTGATATCCATACAGCAGTGTATATTAACATGTATCCTGTCAAATTTGCCATGCAAAAACAGCGCAAAGTTAAACATGCACGCTGTGTGTCTGTGTCCACTGTGTGTGTGTGTGTGTGTGTGTGTGTGTGTGTGTGTGTGTGTGTGTGTGTGTGTGTGTGTGTGTGTGTGTGTGTGTGTGTGTGTGTGTGTGTGTGTGTGTTTGTGTGTGTGTGTGATATCCAATAGATGCAGTTTTTGGTATTTTGACGAATCTGGGCTTGGAAACAAAAAAGGAAAGGAAAAAGGGAAATATATATATATAATTTTTGTGCAAGATTCCCATCCCATACCAGTCAGGTATCTCATGTTGTCTGGTTCTAATAAATATATTTATTTATTTATTTATATTCGCAAAGAAATATAAAAAAAAGAACAAATTAAAAGATACATATATAGTGAATATGTAAAGAAAAGTAAAACAACAATAACTCTATATTTATTGATTTGTCATTTATTCATATGTGTGTTTTTTCCATGTTTATACACTTACATTTTCATATTTACATTTTAAAGGAGATAAAATGGGATACAAGTTTGGTCATGACCAATTCCAGCGCTATGGATGTGACATTTGCAGTAAAATCTCAGAACATAAATTCACAGAGAAATAAACATGCATTATGGATGTGACCAAAAAAGTTTGTGAGTTTACAGTAAACAACATACTTTTTAGAAAATCTGTGAATTTAACTGCACAACCCATAAGAAATAATGCTAATCAGTTCGGTCTTTATATAACAAAAACGATTGATTTTATTTTATGTGACATTTTTTGCATTTGTGAGAAAAAAGCACCGTTATGGATGTGCAGATGTGAAATTGGCACTTGTGTCATTTTGGTTTATTCAATTTAATAGTTTAAAAATATTACCAGAGAGTATTGAGTATTTTTAAAGCACTGTAAAATACTTGCCTACACAAAAAAACGCAGAAACAATTTCGATATTTTGCCGAAAACATTTTTTCATGGCAAGATTGACATTTGCTTGGAATTAATCTCATGTTGGAATGCCAAATATCTCTAGAGTAAAACCAGTAAACAAAAACACTGATCTAGAGCACTCTGTGATACTACCACAGATAATAAACTGTAGTATTCAACTTCACCAGGACCACAGACACACAGATCTCACTGTGATAATGACTTTGTTTCTTATGTCTTCCTCAGACTCTTTGTATCTGACAGTGAGGGAAAGACGAGCTATAGCAGGTCAGATGTTGTCTTTGCTCAGGTTTATGGTCATGACCATCGTCCTGATAGCTGTTGACCTCATGGTGTTCTGGATGTTCGAGCTGGTTCACCACCTGGCCCAGGGTGAAATCGTGGCACAAGGTACACATGAGATGAAAATCACAGTTTGATTTTAATCTACGCTTTTTATTGTTGCATTGCACAGTTTGACTAGTATGTAAATAAATTAAATAAGTAGTATATGGCTGCACAATATATTGTTTCAGCATGGATATTGCAGTGTGTGATTCCGCAATAGTCACATTGCAAGATATGCAATGTTGAGTCTGGATTATAGTTGACAGGAGCTACAGAATTGTTTTTAATTACTCTCCAGAACTTATACAGTTTATGTAAAAAAATGTCGTAAATGTCTTGTTTCTAGTCCAAATGTCTACATTTTGAAGCAAAAACAAGATTATTTTACTCCACTGGCTACGGTGACGTACGGAAGAATTTTAGTACCTGAATACTGTTAGGCTCCCCAGAAAACTATCAAATAGAGCTATTTAAACCATCTGGTGAAACTGTATTCATATCGCAATATGTACAGCAGAAAAATAAAATATCGCAAGATCTGATTTTTCCAATATTGTGCAGCCCTAATTAGTATGAAATTAAATTAAATTAGATATTTTGGCTTGTAAGAGATTATTGTACTTTAAAAAAGAAATTTCATAACTCAAAGCTTTCTTAGGCCAAAACAAAGCTTTTATTAAAACTGAGCTGCCAAAATGGCTCCTTTTAAATTTTAATATATATAAATTTATGATAGTGATGAAAGATGGCCTCTGCACAATAAGACCCCTTTTTTAGCTCTTTTCATTCCCTCTTTAGCCCTGTCCAATTTTTCTGTTTTTATTGGAGAGAAAAAATACTAGGGACCAAGCACACGATTACTTGAGCAACAAAACGACAGTGATCCCTCAGACGTTTACAAGACATTGTGTAGTGTCAATTTGTTGCAAAACGATGTTTTTGCATAACATTGCATTACTGTTGGCGAATTGTTGGGCCACTCCACACTCAATATAGATAAAATCATCACCTGTCTGCCCTAAGCAGCTGCTTACTTCGCTTGTTGGTTAAATCCGCCCCTGAAAGGGAATAAGGCGAAAAGAAAATATATGAATGAATGACCTTCAATGCAGACTTTTCACGTGATGTGCAGTGTGTTGTCTATTTTGGATTTGAGAGTATTGCTTTGACAGTAAAAAGATTATTTGAAAAATTTTGATATTTAAAAAAATGATTATTTTGATTTGTTGACAAAATGTCCCATATGATTTTTAGTGTACGCTACACTAATCCAAAAAAGTATTAATTTACCATATTTTTCAAACCTTATCTTTCTGTCTCTACTGTTTCTGCCTATTATATCTAAAGTTTGTTTTTGTTTTGTTAAAAAAAACTATTAAAAGTGAACCAAAGAAAACATTATAAAACAACATAAAATCCAGTTCATAACACCTTTAAATATAAAATGATATATAATAACTCAAGATCTTTCCATTTTTTTTTACAGCCAAATGTTTTTGCAACCTCGTGATTTCTGTCACCGTTTTGTTTACCTTCAGCTCCAGTAGTTGTTGCAGTACAAGTTAACGGATCTGGTTATGCCTCAGATATCTTCCGGGACATTGCAGCCTCATTTGACATCTTGCAGAAAGGAAACATCACTGTGATAAGCAAGAAATGTCTCGTGAAGCCTTCGGAGCCTGATTACATGAGATACCTGCTCATTGGTAAAACTACAATTCGAAGTATTATGTACTTATATTGCACATGCGGTCATCAGTTGTTTTACAGTGACTCCCAGTGGTCAAGCACTGAACAGCAGAACTCTGAATCATTGATTTTTTTAACACGTGTATTTAACACGATTGTTAACTTAAAATCGAATATGTTAACTTAATTATTTTTGCAGATTTAAGTGGATTGAGGATAAAACAATTAAGTTGCCTTATTTTATATAAGTAGTTTGAACAAGGGTGACGCGGTGGCGCAGTGGGTAGTACATTCACCTCACAGCAAGAAGTTTGCTGGTTCGAGCCTCGGCTGGGTCAGTTGGCATTTCTGTGTGGAGTTTGCATGTTATCTCCGTGTCCGCGTGGGTTTCGTCCGGTTTCCCCCACAGTCCAAAGACATGTGGTATAGGGTAATTTGGTAGGCTAAATTGTCCGTTGTGTATGTGTGTAAATGAGTGTGTATGGATGCTTCCCCGAGATGGGTTGCGGTTGGAAGGGCATCTGCTGCATAAAACATATACTGGATAAGTTGACGGTTTGTTTCGCTGTGGCGACTAAGCCAAAAAACAAAATGAATGAATGAATCAGTTTGAACAAGCAGCAGAATTACTTTTGAGTGTGCATGAACAGCATGATATAAACATGGAATATTTGCGTACTATAATATTGAAGTGACGTTTAATTATAAACTAATTTCGAAAGGATCATGTGCTTATGATTGACCGTGGCTGGTCCTGCATTAGCTAATGCATGATTCACCAATCAGATGACTCCTAACTCACTATAAATAACCAGAGTGCCTTACCTTAGTCATCTTCGAATTGAAGTTTACATGGTTTCCCGGTGCTCACTTGAGTTTACCCCAGGTTTTCCGGTTTCCTCCCACAGTTCAAAGACATGATACATAGGTAAATTGACCAAACCTGCACCATAGGCAAGCTTTTAATCAGCAGTGTATCTTCATTAGCAATCTCTAATCTGCCATAATAAATGGGGGAGTTCTCGAGACCTACCTGAGCTCTTACTCCCCTCTCCCCCTGCAAAAGCCCTGGACTCGAGCATCTTATGAGCTCAGAGCTCTCTTCCGGGACGGCATGCCAAACGCTTTATAATCAATTATCAGCTAAGTGTGAACTCTAGAAACTCTTACAAACATTAATACAAAAAATTACCCCCAAACAGTGCTTCAAGAAATTATGTTTTTTTTTTTATCTCAACTGTCAAAAACGGAATGCACAGGATTTTTCGAAATTCGATCAGAATATGGGTCCTCAGGAGAGGATTAAAACAGAAATTGAATGGCTTCCTATCCTGGAATGCAACCTCTGAACTCTTTTTATTGCTTTTAGATGCAGCCATATTTTTTTTTCTAGTCAGAAATGTTTTTATATTTTACAACGGCTCCACAGACCACAGCTTAATAACAGCAAAAACAATGGCTATATGCAAACATTTAACTTTTATTTGGTTATATCCCTGACCTTTGTCTTCTCTTCAAACAAAGGTCTCCTTTATGGCTTCACCTTGTTTATTGTGATTGCTGGTGGCTACATCAAACGTTTAAAGAGGTTTGTGTGTGCCAGGTACCATCCCGAAAGAGAAAAAGTAAGACAACGACAGCTTTAATAGTTTCATGCACATTTACCATTTATAGAATTATTCCTGTATACTGATATAAAGCATTTACCAAAATATACTAAGCTGATCACACCGAGGGCTTGCTATTACTTCTAATGCACTAAGAATTTTAATCAGTTGAAGGGAACTGTGTATAATGGAGAAGAATAAAGAACTTGTATGTGCTTTTTTTTAACAATAAGTCAGATTTGGCTTGTAAATGGACAATGACTAAACAAATTAATTAAATATAAAGTTGTGTAAACTACATGAATGTATGTTGCAGAAGAGGATTCAATACCTTCACAAGCATATTCTCACTCAGCGTGGGTCTTTGGGAAAAGCATTAATGAAGGCTTTACAACGTAACAAGGTAGACCAGCAACAAGGTGGCATTATGCAGGCACTGGCCAAACAGTGAGTTTGAACTGCTATACAAATCACACTAAAAATCACTTGTTTTTCTGCTTAATAACATCCTAGCAGCAATATTTTTAAAGTTAGAGTAATAAATTAAACAATTCAGATTAAATTGACTGAAAGTGAAAACATATTTACATTGTTACAAATATATTTATATAGATAAATTGCTATTCCTTTTCATTTTTAATAAGTTCCAAATTTTTAACACAGTTTCCATAAACATTTGAGCCCGCTAAAATATTTTCAGTATTAATAATAACCAGAAATATTTAGTGTAATACATTGTAAACATAAAAACATTGTCGAAACAAAGTTGATTATCTGTCAGTGAAGTATGAAAAATTGTTCTTTTGTTTCCCAAGTAAATATATATTTATTTAGAAATCTTTACAAATCTGCGATGCAAAAAAAGCACAAAAGTACTAGAGAAAAACAGCAGTTATTTAAACCATAATCAATTTGTTTACTATTTTTTTATTATTTAAAACAAATTAAAAACTAATGGAGATGAAGTTGTATTTTCCAAATGCTAACTTCTGTGCTCCCTATAAATGTATATTTATTGAACATTATAGCATATTGCATTCCTTTCAAGCAATTAACTTTCTTTACTGTGTCTTAAATTAAAGCCTATTTAATAAGTCATACCTGTACCATTATAAAACCTGAAGAACCCCTGTTTTACAGTCTGCCAGGGGGTTCCATCATAGCCAGGCTCCTGGATATTGGGAAAGAATCTTGCATGGCTTGTGGGAAAGTGTTGGAGACAAGAGGTTGTGATGATGAAGTGCACATCTGTCCTACCCCTCGCTGCACAGGTTGGTTTATTCACTCGAGGGAAAAGATTGATTTCAGATTAGATTGTCAAAAAGAATTGACTAACCTGCTGGGTGAAATGATTTCCTTTCACAGGCCGTTACTGTTTGCTGTGCTTCAAACTGATGGGGGAAATCTGTGTTTTCTGCACAGGAGCCCTAACAGTTCAAGAGGAGCAAGAACTGTGAGTAAACAAAAAAAAGATATAGTTTGACACCTTAAAAAACATTACTGGAATAAATCAGAGTGGAGCCTTGTGATTTCTATAATTTAAATGCTAATGCAATTCCACTATAGTCCTACAGTAATCATGGAAATCTTTATTTTAAAAAAATTCAAGGAATTTAGAAAAGTTTGGATGAATAAATCAAATTGTAAATCTAATACTTTTTTTGCATTCCATTACTATTAGAAATACACTCATTGGTCAATGTATTAGGTACTATACCTTACTAACCAACTTTTGCCTTCAGAATTGCCTAAATTGTCCTTCACATAGATTCAACAAGATGCTGGAAATATTCCTCAAAGATTTTGGTCCATATTGACATGATAGCATCACGTATTTGCTACAGATTTGTCAGCTGCACATCCATGATTCGAATCTCCCGTTCCAACACATCCCAAAGGTGCTCTTTTGGATTGAGATCTAGTGACTGTGGAGGCCATTTGAGTACACTGAACTCATTGTCACTCATTGATGCTCGGTTTGAACTGCAGCAGATCATTTGGATCATGTCTACATACCTAAATGCATTGAGTTGCCACCATGTGATTGGCTGGTTAGAAATTTGCATTAGCAAGTAGTTGGACAGGTGTACCTAATAAAGTGGCCGCCTTTGTATATGATGACCAAGTAATGAAAACAGGTCTTAAAAATGTGGGTTAAACTGTCAAAAATATGGTAAATAGCAAACATTTTAATGATTTTAAATAAATCAACAAGGCTTCTAAAGTTTTAATCAATAAATTGATTTAAATTGATTGAATTTTTTTAAATCTACTGGAAAATAGGAATAAGGGGCTTTCTCTCAAGGGGCTGAGAGAATAATACATACATTCATCTATAAAGAAAACAATCACACGAGTACAATCATGCAGGGAGAGATTTTGTGATTCGAAAAAGTTAAAATATGACCATTGTTCAGAATAATTTTTATTCCTGTTATTTTCAAAATGCACAGCAAAGTTTTTTAAATAAAGGATACCTTGTTGTAGAGACTCCAGTGATGAGGAGCAAACCAGTTTATGGGAACCAGCTGAAACTTTACCTCAGAGCACAAAGGAAAAGAGTGCAAAGATCAGGTGTGTGTCAAGATTAAAACACCATTTTTTGAGGTATACAGATCCAAAAGAGACATTGACAGTTAAACCTTTTGTCTTTTTTTGTTTGATTGCTACAGTATCTCTGATCAGGATCATTCCGTATGGATCAATGGCCAAAGTAGCAATCAGAATACGGAGGCTATTAACATAATCTAAGGCAAAATATGCTTTATGCTGTATATTTGGTGTGTTGAAAGCATTCGGGTATATGGTCGTGAATAAATGTGCTACAACAGAGGCAGCTAGTGTTTGTGTGCATGTGTTTTTATTACCTTGGCCACACTATAACGTGGATCTATACGTGATGAAACAAATATTTGGAAAAGTTAACTCATGTTATCTCATTACATCTGTCAGAATGTGGTATGTCTGGTTACATTGGCTAACGTCATTCAATGTTTAAGGAATGTAGAGTAAGCCTACATGATGTTGCTACAGTTATTATGCTACCTGTAACAATGTATTTAAAAGAGCTTTTTTGAATTACACTGCAATGTATATCCCATTCCCAGTCTTTATCAAAAATTAAAACGAATTCACAAACTGAGTACTGTAAAAACTTTGACAATAGCCGCGCGCTCGTGAAGAGTGGGCGTGTCGGGGGCGCGCAAAGCTACACTGGTCAGGTGATGAAATACCTTCACTTCTCTTCACCTGCTCTAGTTTCCGCACGGGACTTGAAACCAGCCCAATGGCGACAGAGGTAAGTTTTATTTGTGATGTATTTTGTTGCTTGTTTCACGTGTAAAGCCTATTTCACTTAAGCTTATCTTTTGGTCATAACTTTGATTTCAAAGACAGACTCTTTTAAAACAGGCTTTTCTATCCATCTAATTGTATTCATTCAGATTAAATTTTGTATTACTAAAATGTATTTATGTAGGCTATTTTACATTGACTAATTTATAATGTCGACTATCGCATGAGCTAATAGGCCTATCTTACATTTAACGTAGCCTATAGATAGGCCACATTACAGTAGCCTATTTACAGGTTACTTTGTTTTTAACAATATCTGTTATATATGGACATTAGATAGTGTAAAAACTCTAACAAGACAATATTAATAATTATTATTATTATAACCGCGTTTAGTAGACATGTGTTTAATGTCTTTTTTGTGACCAACGCCCAGAGTTTTAGTAGGATGTCAGTCATGCTGAACTGTCTAGCAGTGGAATGTATTGTAGAGCCGAGGTATAACAGGTCTCTACAGCTCCTGTTCAACAGCAAACAAATGGATTATAACTAATATACAAAGGATTTTATGAGGAATGGAACAAAGCTTTAACAAACACAAACCCTTATAGGCCAAGTCAATATGCTAAGTTACAGTCTGTAATTTAATTTCACTCTTTAAACAGTTTAATTACCCTACGTTTTACTACATTATTAACTTCAAAGATTTGGAACTTCATTAAGTAGAAATAATAGACATTTTTGTAAAAGGTTAAACAAAATTAAACTTAGTTTAAAAAAAAGTTGTGACAATTTTGAAACCATTTTTTGCTGTGTATTGTAAGATAGAATATTATAATATAAATATTAATATAATGGGTTTTATAATCTTGTATATTATTACTGAACCACCTTTTTAATGGACATGGTTTCAACTTGAAGTTCTTAAAGGCCTAAAAGTTGGTAAAACCATATTCTTAAAAATAAATTATCTTTATTGGTATCTATAGATTATTTACATACCACAAAAAGCGTTTCTTACAGTGGAAAAAAGTTCTATAAAACCCTAAAATCCTCTTCAAAGTCAAATATGTATTATTTTAATAACTCTTGACTGGAATGTTCTTCAGGGAACTCAGGAAATTTCTTCTATGGCATTGGTATACGTATATATTTTAACAATGTTTTGAATATTTTATTTCTATGTGGCTATAGAGACATTCTAGCTGTACTTGAATCTAAACTGCTCCTTCTCTGTAGTACACAGATCTAGAGTTGGCCATCAACACCTTGGTAACAAACTTTTACTCAGCATCACCGAATAATGCTGATTCGCTCACAGCCCAGGAGTTCCAGAGCATGCTCTCCAAAGAGCTGCCCACCATGGTGAAAGTAAGTCAGGAAAAGCCTTGAGTAGCTAGATCTTCAAACTTAAAACAGTAGTCTAGCTTCCTTAGGAGTTTTTATTGACCACCCAAGAGTACCTGACATCTAAAGCAATCAACCATAGTATATTTTGTTCGTCATATTGTTTAGGTTCATGAAAATGTAATGTTGATGTCCCTATAATAACAGACTGACATGCAACCTATAAAACTTCATTTAAAGACATTATTTCGATAGTTAAGAGTCTTAGAAAATCAGCGATTTGTTGATCCTAATAAGTACTCAGCTAAATAACAGAACAAGCTTCTTCCAAAAATCCCAAAAAGTATGAAAACTTAAGAGCTCCTGTAGTTTCTTCCTATTTGTGTGCCCACAAATTCAGCCAGCAATCTGTAATTGTAATATTAGCACCAAACATTCTGTCATCACATTATTTCAGCACATTTAAGTCATTTAAGACTCTCAAAATCAACAATATCATAAAAATAACCCAAAATAAAAAAACACAATTAAACCAGAAGCCACAGCTTTTATTTACAATAGCTTATCATAGTTTAGAGCTGACTAGAGTTATGTATTGAAAATATGATAATTTAAGAAACTCAAGCAATTCCTCCATTAAAAAATGCAGACATAAAACAGTACGCAAACCAAATAGAATGTCAGAGTCATAGTAATAACGACACAGTATGCAAAAACCACATTACACATATGCAAAAACTAGATCCCTACTCTCTGTGAGAGTCTGAATTGTGCATTCCATGAATATTTTACTATCCCTTGAGGACATAAGAGAAGAATTGTGAATGACACAACTGATGCCGTAGTTCACATGACAGTCACAGTCATCCACATTTCACATTTATGCTACATAAGACAACTTCGAACCAAATGTAGCACAGCATGCAATTCAGAAGCAGGTTCTGGAATGAAATTCTGGAGTTCAATTCAGACATTTCAAGTTTTTAGCATTTTCTACTAAATGTGAAACTTCAATAAGAGAAAGGGATGCACGATATATAGTTTCAGCATCAATATTGCAATGTGTGAATAAGCAATGGTCACAATCGCAGGACAGGCAGTGTGGAGTCAGGATTATTGTTGACAAGGTACAACATTTTACAACACGATAATTTATTTTTAGTTTAACCATAATTAAGTGAAAACTGTATCAATTGCTTGTGTTTTATGGCTTGTTTAAACATTTTGAGCAAGTTTAAAGCACTTGAGCACAAGGAAAATTCTGTTTGTAGCTTTAACAAAGATTAATTGTATTTAATTATTTACACAATGAAGAATACACTGCTTTATTGTACATTTGATCATTTTATTTCTGTGTCATTTGTATATGTGCTCTATTTATCTCCACTTATAATTTGTTGATTACATTTTTTGCACTCCCCTACAAAATCCTCCCAATCAATTACGCCTGTCACAATAATCAATATATTGTTTTATCATTAAACACATGGACATAACCTCAATCATTTTGGTGATGCAATTATACAGTTATAGTCAGAATTATTAGCCCCCCTTTAATTTTTCCCAAATAATGTTTAAGAGAAGCAAGGACATTTTCAAATAATGTCAGATAAAAAAAAAATCCTGGAGAAAGTCTTATTTGTTTTATTTTGGCTAGAATAAAAGCAGTTTTTATTTTTTTTTTAAAACCATTGTAAGGTCAAAACTATTAGCCACTTTAAGCTATATATTTTTTGATAGTCTACAGAACAAACCATCACTATACAATACATTTCATATTTACCCTAACCTGCTTAGTTAATCTAATTCACCTTAAGCCTTTAAGTGAAGCTTATATATAAACTAATTTCGAGAGGATCACGTGCTTATGATTGCTTGCAGCCGGTCCCGCATTATTCAATTTATGATTCACCAATCAGACGATTCCTCAGCCACTATAAATACCCTAAGTTCCATATAACAGCTATCTTCATTTTAAAGAACCCTCCTTCCACCCCTACTCCTCCTCCATTACTAGATGGGTGGCACGGTAGCCCAGTGGTTAGCACTGTTGCCTCACGGCAAGAACGCCACTGATTCTAGTCCTTACCAAGCCGGCCAGCAATTTTGTGCGGAGTTTACATGTTCTCACCGTGCTCACGTGGGTTTCCCCCGGGTTCCCCGGTTTCCTCCCACCGCCCAAAACAAGCAACTTAAGTCAATTGACTAATCCAAATAGGCACCATAGACATGCTCTTAGTAAGTAGTTATCTCTTAAGAGCAATCACTATATGTTCATTAGCTATTATAGCAGGGGAGTTCTCAAGATCTACCTGAGCTCAAACTCCCCTCCCACCTTGCAAACGGGAGGGAACCCCTGGCTCAAGGATCTTATAAGCTCAGGGCTCTCTCCCGGGACAGCATGCCAAACAAGCTTTATAATCAATCATCAGCTAAGAGTGAACTCTTGAAATGTCACTTTAAGCTGTATAGAAGTGTCTTGAAAAATATCTAGGTATTTACTGTCATCATGGCAAAGATAAAATAAATCAGTTATTAGAAATGAGTTATTAAAACTATTATGTTTAGAAATGTGTTGAAAAATCCCTCCGTTAAACAGAAATTGGAGAAAAAGAAAACAGTGAGGTATAATTCAGGGGGGCTAATAATTCTGACTTTAACTGTATATTGCCTATACATAAAAAACAATTCTAGCTTAATTTAGCTGATTGTGCAACATCTTTATCTCTACTATCTCTATTGGAGGTGTCAGTATTGTTAAAAACACTATAGTATTTACTATAAATTACTATAGTATATTTTCATGTGGGTGTCTGACAACTGAAAATAAACCTGGTAACATCCTCTGTTACTTTTACTACACTTTTTTTGATAACTATTTTTTTTTTATTTGTTTAGGATACACATTTTCACATTCTGATACCAATGGCTAATTATTAAATTGTTAAAAATACTATAATGAAATAAAATCAACTTAAGAATAAAATATTTAGTTTTATTTGGAAGTGTACTTGCTTTGTGATGATATTATATTGTCCCTCTGGCATTATATAATGAGTGGTATAAAATGGTTTTGAAATAACACTAATATCATTTATCGCAATATATTTTGGTGCAATATATCATACAACAAAAAATGTATATCGTGACAAGCCTACAATCAACCTAAAATCATTAAGCTATCTTGAAAAAAATTGTGATATAAATAATAAAAAAAAGAAATACTGCAATGTATATTTTTTCCTAATATCATGCAGCCCTAATATGAGACGTTAATCAATGATATGTTTATTCAGACCAGTGAAAGCGTTTGGTCAACAATGTATAATCATGATAATATTTGATTTGCACAGTTTTCCACACCCTCTAATTTCCCCACCCTTTTTATTCTCTTTCAGACAGCAGGGGACCAGGAAGGACTCAGCAAAATCCTGAAGGATTTGAACGTGGAAGAAGGGCAGGGCATCACATTCAAGGATTTTTGGCAACTGGTTGAGTCTCTGGCCAATAATCAATTTGGATTGCAGAGCAAAGAGAAGCAGGTGAAATGTGTGAAATGCAGTCTGATGTAAGACCGGCCCTGAGCAAACAAGACCGTTCAACATTACGTAGATGTCCGCCACTGCCCTGAGAAAACACGTCCAATCTGTCACTCCTATTTCCCATCATTCCTCTGCATTTTTCTGCTGGTCGCTGAGGTCTTATCATAATTAGGTGTCACAAGGAGCTTCCTGAATAAATACCCCTCAAGCTCTTATGAAACAGACCGCCAGTATAATCTCTATCATCAGTGTAACCTGAGCCACACCTGCTCGGCCAGATAGCATAAGATCCAGTGGCACGTTTATTTCCTTATTTGTTCTGGTGCTGCAGGTTTTTGTGTTTGTGTGTCACTTTTAGCCTGCTCAATATTTTAACTATATTTTTTATACACTTAATTGGAAAAAAAAGTTTTTATGTGACAATTGTGATCGTATTTGTTTGTGCTGACTGACATGAATTCATAAACAGATAATGTGAAGTATTTTAGAGGGAAATAGAGATGACACGACATATTCTGTACTGTATTTGGGTTTATGGTAACACAATGTAATTTTCTGTGTTGATATTATTAAATATGTGCAAAGATTTGTGAGTTGGCATAATTTAAATATAGCTGAACTTGATGGAGATGATATTTGTTTATCTCTATAGATGTTATTTAATCCTCATTGGAACACAACAAACCATTCCACATCCCTTTAGGCTTACAGAGAGCCTAGATATGAAACTTAGAAGTGATGATGAAAGAGTCGGGAGCCAAACGTGGAATTATTTTTAATTGTTTTAAACGTGGAGTCATATTATTCATATAATACATTTAAGGTAAACTTTTTAAAAACTCAAGTGTCACCATGTTTTTAAACAATACACAAAAGATTCACCATCATCAAGAATCACCATCTGAAAATCTGAGATTTTGGTAAGGAGAGGGGTGTTGTAGTAGACTCCTGTTGCTTTGATTGATCAGCCAGAGATCGGTATCAGCCAATAATCACATTTCATGACTTGATTGGTACTCGCTAATCTGTCTGATCTCATGAACCGACCACAATTGTTTATTTTTGAGTTTCCAAGCAGAGGACAAATAAGAACTGAAAGAACTTTTTGCCTTTCAGAACTGAAAGTTCTGTGTTTTCAACAATATTGCAAGTTCATTAAAACCTTGCTGGAAATGTTAAGGAAATAAAATATACATGAGCAATATCACACGAGTAGCAGTGAGATATGGCTGTATATCGGCACTGGTGGGAGGCGTGCGTTGGCACGAGGCCGCAGTGCCTCCACCAGTGCCGATATACAGCCATATCGCACTGCTACGAGTGTGATATTGCGTTTATACAACAGTTTGATGGCATAATTGTGTATATAAAAACAAAATCAAACATGGAGAGTCTCAAAAACCCTGTTGTATGAGGAACTACTTTCTTTCAGATTCAAATCATAAGCTGACAGTTAAACAGCTGAGCAAGCATCTTTTAAACTTTAAATCTGTAGTGTCTGCTTTTTGCTTGCTGTATGTGGGCGGAGTAATACACAAAGGGTAAAGAGGCTGTACAGGTGCTGATATTACTTAAATATATTACGGCTTTCAGCCAATCAGATTTTATATATATATATATTTTTTTTCCTTAAATATTTAATAATATAGTTTATGGAGCTATTTCCTTTTAGTAAAGAAGTAATGGATTTAAAGGTGTGGAATTTAACTTCTTATGCATCTAATATGCGCTCCAAATTTCATTGTTACATGTTCAATTCTTCTTCCATCATTTGCATTATTTCCAAATTGCTTTGTTGGTGATTTTCTTACCATTTTTTTGTATCCGTTTTTTCTTTTTTTTTCCTGTAAAGCTGCTTTTGACCATTACATGTCCACACTAAATGGTTATAAGAGACATGTTTATGTGCAACATCTTTGATTTATTCTCCTAGGCAAGGAGAAATCTTCACTTTAGTAGCATACTTAATGTGCTATATGCATTATAAAGCATCAGAATCTGTACTTGGCATCGGCTGATCAGCATGACAAATAATTGGTACTCAGTATCGGCTGCAAAAATCCTAATCGGAGCATCCCTAGTTGTAGTTATGACTTTTTAAAGCATCAAAGTGTGTATGATCACCATTTGCTGCATACATTCAACATTAGACAATTAGGAATAAAGATTTAAAGAATTTCCAAAAATATATATGGTTAATCTAAAAATTGGTATGAATGTTTTTATATGTACATCATAAAAATGCCATTTAAACATACCGTGGGGAAAATTTTTAAATTCCAGCATGCTTTTTTAAAAAAAACGAAACCAAATTAAATCACTTTTATTGTCATATCATCAGCAGCACGTGTGCTATGATGAGTGAAAAGAAAGTGGGCTTAAAATGTTGCTGATTAGCAACTTGTGACTTCCTTGGAGTTAGAGCAATGCTAGCAGCTCAAACCAAAACATGCAAAACATGGTACAATTGCTTGAATTAAATCTGATGTTTGTTTCATTACACTTTAGTTCTGTTAGCTTTTGATCTTTATCTTTTTATAACATTAATTGATTTAACCACTCTAGTTGGCATTGCACTGGCATTGCTTTGTGCTGTTGTTACTAAATGTAGGATATAGAAGGGCCTTGCAGGTATGAGAATTTTTCTAGTCAAACTGGTTCAAAGACAATGGTCCTTCAGTTTCTAGAAATACATACAGCATGACACCAGTTCTGCTTTTACTTACGCTCTTCACTTCCTCCATTTTCTCAGATTTATATGGTATCTGTGAGCCACAGAACAGATTTGGCTGCAAATAAAAATACACCCATTGTTTCACTAAGATGAAAATATGTTTTTCTTTTAAAACTTTAACAACAGAAAGTTGTTTAGTAAGAACAAACAGGAATAATAAAATCAAACCATATCAAGAAATAAGCTACATTTAAAAAAAATCAATAAAAAACAAAAAACAATGACTGAGGCAAATTTCTATTCAGAGAAAGCTCTGCCTCCTACATTTACTTACAGTTTTTCTCAGTCGCTTTGGTGCGTTTCTCACAACACTAGTGCATTTCTGCACAACAGTTAATGCAAATTTCAAAACAATTAGTACAAACTGCAAAACCTAGCTGATAACCTGCAAAAGCTTGTCATATGCTCAAAATGGATAGTTCATTCCTCAAAAGCAAGTATTGATGTCAATCAATGTGTCAGTATCATCAAAATGAAAAGTCCTGACACCATTGTTTATAAACAAGATAGTCAAATGGCTTTGTCATGCTTTTATTATGACAGTTTACTCTGTACATTTGTTTCAATGCAAAAAAGTCAGATGTTGGTAACACTTCCTGAAAATGCCCAAGACAGCGCTATATACTATTTGCACAGCCTTTTGAAAACTACAATAAAGTTAGACATCACTGCATTTAGTGAACTATCTGAGTACAATATGTAGGTTTCACAGTTTTACTGCATTTGCTCATTGCAATTCTAATTTAGTCACAGCATTGTGCAAAAGAATAAATAAACCCCTTTACAACAAACATAAACTTCCTTTGGGTAGAGCTGTGCACAACTGTAAACGATATTGCAGAACATATTTGAACTGAACCTACAACACAGGTCTGTAAATCATTCATGAAATTGTTACATTTTTAAGGCATTTTCAGGAAAATAAAGATTGACATTTTTTTATAAAATTTGCTAGACAGATTTTGACAGCTAGTTTAAATTTTTTGTATGCAATGACTCAAGTAATGAAATGAGGATTACTAGTTTTATATGGAATGCCTATTAAGCATTTTCAAGTTTAGTTAACTTTGACTGACATGACAAATGATAATGTTATAAAACAGCAGAGAGTTGTATGAAAGCAATTGATGAATGTCCAAAAGCATCTGCAGTGTGTTGGAAGTAATGAGAAACTGCTACTAGGAGTACACAAATGACTAATTGTTCTGAGAAATGCATTACCTGTTGTGCAAATGTAAATAGTGTTGTGAGAAATGCACCACAGCGACTGAGAAAAACTGTAAGCAGACTGATCTAGGTCACCTAAACACAAAAAAATAAACAAATAATAAATAAATAAATAAATAAATAAATAAATAAATAAATAAATAAATAAGCTTAACTTTCAGGTTTATCCTCTGGACATGACAGCTTGGGAACATCCCGGTAGAATAGAACCCAGACGACAAAATATAGACAACAGTTGCACACGGAATTAATTACACCTTCAAATTGTTAAAACAGACTGAAACGCTCTTGAACCATACCTTAACATGAAGTTTTCAAAATAAAATCATTATACCTGATACCCGTAAAATAGTTGAAGCGTACAGTTGTGTTAAAACTTAGTTCAATGATGCAACAATATTATTTGATGTCCCTTTACGTCGCACTAACTTACATGGGCTACGTGCAACTACTTATATCCAATACAAACAGATTTTCAAGGTTAACATTACTATGTTCGTAATTTTATACAGAAAGCATATTTTCAAGTCGAAATAACACCACCAACCGTTTTAATTGTCTCGCTTTTGTATCATCAGGGGACACGCCCTCTATATATATATATATGAACTCATGAATATTCTATGAGGCTCCGCCCAAGCTAAAAAAAGTTCTAGGAAGAAACTGCTTATTGTACGGCTTACCGTTAGATCAACGGGTCGAATTTCCCTAACGACCAAATATATGTAAACGTTACGCCTTTGTTTACATATTCTTTTTTTTTTAAGTAACAGATGTTTACCGCTGGCCCGACAGGGCGTTCAGCGTCGCCCCGTCCGGATTTGCAAAAAGCGGTTTGCGGAACTTGTGCAGCTTGCAAAGGACACCTAAACGATTCTACAGAGCCAAAACTTCTGCCCTGCCTCCATACAGTCTGCAATACATGTCTTACAAAGATCTGCACAGATGGAAGCTCACAAGGTGAGAACTCGAGTTACTGTTCACAGTTTGAATGAATCAGATCGCGTTAAACTGCAGACTCCTAAAGAAATGTTCACTGTGTGGCTATGTAAGTTTGGACTTACGTTAACGGCATATCGGATAACTTGCTATCTACTGGGGGCTCATAAGTTACAATTAAACACTAATTTGTGGTATCTACATATTAATTAGACATTTTACTATCAAATTGTAATTAACTTTACAGTTGTGACATATGTAACATTTTACAAACGCACTAAATTTGAACAGATAAAAAAATCACTCCTGAAGTCGCTTTTGGTAATCGTATTTCCTATCGACGACACCGGAAGTTAGGTAACGTTATATTCGAGGGGCTCTGTTTTTTACTTGTATTATTTGGCGAAGTTTAATTTACTACAGCTGTACAACCCGAATATGATTTTTAAATTAACATTAAACAACGTTACAGTTATTTTAATCTCTTTCTTAAATGATTGTATTTTTCAGTGTAATCTGATATATTTTGGGCCTATTGATAACCATTTGTAATCACAGTTTTACTACAGTTAGTTAATTCGTGGTAACTATAGGTTAACTAGAAATATAATGGTTATTGATTGATTTCATAACCATGATTATTGTTATTTTATTTAAACAATCCTCCCCCTCCTTACTCCAAGGTTA